GCCCAGCTCATCGTGTAACAATATCAGATTTCGGACAAAACCAGTCATAACACTTATAAACACAAATAATACATTTCATGATGAGTTACCGCAATGAATGGCTTAATAAATGGTTGCCGCTTTCACTGTAAACTCCGCCTGGAGTCCCTCCGGGGGCTACTGCCGGTCCCAATCCCGGATAAAGGAGGGGTGTTGGGTATGGGTTCAGCGACAGAAATGAGGAGATACAACCTAGAGGTGCTTGGGATCAGTGAAACACATTGGAGGCAGGTTGGACAACAACGACTAGCTTCAGGGGAGCTGCTATTGTACTTTGGACATGAAGAAAAAAATGACCCGCATGCACAAGGAGTAGCATTCATACAGTGCAAACAAGCACAAAACGCACTTATAGGATGGAAATCTCATGGACTAAGGATCATAAAAGCGTCCTTCGAAACAAAGAAAGAGGGCATTTCAATGAACGTCATCCAATGCAACGCGCCTACCAACGACTACACTGAAGACGGTAAAGCTCAATCCTACGATAGGCTGCAGTCAATCGTCGAGAAGTGCCGAACAAAGTACCTGATCATCTTGATGGGAGATTTAAATGCCAAGGTTGGAATTGGCAACACCGGATATGAAGAGATCATGGGACGACACGGACTGGGAGAGAGGAACGTAAACGGTAAGAGATTTGCAAATCTATGTGCCATCAATAAACTGGTCATATGCGGCACTATATTAAGACACAAACGCATTCACAAAACCACATGGACTTCACTGGATCACACGACGCAAATCCAAATCGACCATATCTGCATCAACAAAATGTTCAGGAGGAAGATGAAGGACATAAGAACCAAGAGAGAAGCTGACATAGCATCAGATCATCACTTGCTGGTCGCCAAGATGAGATTAAAGCCTAGGAAGCACTGGACAATGGGGTGGACAACATCGCTAAATTTTAACACGGCTATTCTCCGGGATACCGATAAGCTCAACAAATTCAAGATAACCCTCAGAAATAAGTTCCAGGCCTTTCATGATCTACTCAGTGGAGAAGGAACTACTATGGAGAGCAACTGGAAAGAGCTAAAAGAAGCAATAACTTCAACATGTCATGAGGTTCTGGGCCACGAAAAGCACCATCACAAAGAATGGATCACGGTCAAAACACTGCATACGATTCAAGAAAGGAGGAAAAGGAAGGCGGCAACCAACACCAGCCGAACATGAACATAAAAAGCCAAGGCACAAGCCGAATACACAGAAGTAAACGAGTAAGTGACGAGGAGCATCAGAACGGACAAAAGTAAATATGTGGATGATTTAGAAATGACGGCGGAAAAGGCTGCTAGAGAAGGAAACATGAGACCAGTGAATGACACAACAAAGAAACTCTCTGGAAATCACCGTAAACCAGAACGACCAGTGAAAAGCACGGAAGACAAGATAATCACCGACATTGAAGATCAACGAAACAGGAGGGTAGAACACATTCAAGAACTCTTGAATCGATCAGCCCTACTGAACCCACCCAACATCGAAGCAGCACTCACGGACCTCCCAATCGATGTTGGCTCACCAACAATTGAAGAAATCAGCATGGCTATCAGGCAAATCAAGAGTGGCAAAGCAGCAGGACTAGACAACATTCCGGCAGAGGCAGACGTAGCGGTAACTGCAAGGATACTCCACATTCTCTTCAGAAAGATTTGGAATAAGGAACAGGTACCAAAAGACTGGTCAAAATACCAAAGAAAGGCGATCTCAGCAACTGTGACAACCACAGAAGAATCACTCTTCTTTCAATACCAGGAAAAGTCTTCAACAGGGTATTGTTAAACAGGATGAAGGACTCCGTAGACGCCCAACTTCGAGACCAACAGGCAGGATTCCGTAAGGATAGATCCTGTACATATCAAATCTCAACTCTACGTATCATTGTAGAATAATCACTTGAATGGAATTCATCACTATACATTAACTTCATTGACTATAAAAAAGCATTCGACAGCGTGGACAGAACAACCCTATGGAAGCCTCTTCGACACTACGGCGTGCCTCAGAAGACAGTCAATATCATACGGAATTCCTACGATGGATTAAACTGCAAAATCGTTCATGGAGGACAGTTGACAAACTCCTTCGAAGTAAAGACCGGTGTTAGGCTTACTCTTACCCTTTCTCTTTCTCCTGGAGATCGACTGCATCATAAAGACGTCAACATCCGAAGGGAAGCACGGGATACAGTCGACATCTAGGATGCAGTTGGATGATCTACACTTCGCAGATGATGTGGCTCTTCTATCGCAAACGCAACAACAAATGCAAGAGAAGACGAGTAGTGTAGCAGCAGCATCAGCGGCAGTAGGTTTCAACATGCAGAAAGGGAAAAGCAAGATTCTCCAATACAACACAGCATGCACCAACCCAATCACAATTGACGGAGGAGATTTGGAAGATGTACAAACATTTACATATTTGGGCAGCATCATCGATAAACACGGTGGATCTGATACAGATGTGAAGTCGTGGATCGTCCAAGATAGAGCAGCGTATATATAACTGAATAACATCTGGAACTCAAAACAATTAGCAACCAAAACCAAGGTCAGCATTTTCAATACAAATACAAGAGAGTTCTACTGTATGGGGTGGAAACTCGGAGAACTACGAACGCCATCATCCTGATGATACAGATGTTTATTAACAGTTGTCTGTGCAAAATACTTCGAATCCGTTGGCCGGACACTATTAGCAACAACCTACTGTGGGAGAGAACAAATCAGATCCCAGTGGAGGAAGAAATCAGGAAGAAGCGTTGTAGGTGGATAGAACACACATTGAGGAAAGCACCGAACTGCGTCACAAGACAAGCCCTCACATGGAATCCTCAAGGTCGAAGGAGGAGAGGAAGACCAAAGTACAAATTACGCCGAGAAATGGAGATAGACATGAGAAAAATGAACAAGAATTGGATAGAACTGGAAAAGAAGTCCAAGGACAGAGTGGGTTTGAGAATGCTGGTCGGCGGTCTATGCTCCAGTAACAGGAGTAAGTTAGTAAGCAAGTAAGCTTTCACTGTAGCTAACAAGCCATCTACTATGCTATAGAAGTATACACAGCATTTAAGGAAATGAGAATACTTTGAAGTAAGCAGGTCCTAATCACATGCAAGCACAAAATGAATAATTATATGAGTATGACCTTACAGCTCGAACCATGTTTGTGATAATAAAGTTGCTTGATTGATTCGTATTGCAAAGTCCTCCCTTAAATTGTTCCATTATACGACAACTTAAACACAGAAATGTCTCTTCTCTATAGTCTGCTGATCGATTTACCAAGTGAGTTTATGTAGTAAACTGATCAATTTAATTTGTAATCATTCTGCAGGTTTCATCAGTTTCGTACAACAGTTTTGTACAGTTTGAATCATGCAAAATGGAATACTGAGTGATTTAATTATTCTACCAGTTGAGGTCAATCAACGAGGTGTGATTGGAATTGTGCTGAGAAATGATGCTCACTATTAAATCTGAACCTACATCAAAGCATAGTTTATGCAATCATTATTCAGTTAAACTAATATGAATATATCAAACGAGTTACAAACTAGTTGAATCACGACAAACGTCTAGATAAGCATGACAGTTATCATCATCACTGTGTAGTCATTTCTAGTGAATTCTCCATTATGAAAAGTAAGCTTTAAATAAACAACAATCACAGCTAATACTGCATACGCATGACAGTGATCACCAAATCGTGATCAATCAATCTCAGCAGGTCACTTCAAATACACACACACCGAAATTCATGCGTCTAACAACAAGAGTAAGAAGAATTTAAAGCTACATCTAATTGGTTATTTCAATGACGAGGATCAATCTGAAGTGTCTCTTCCCATTCACGGTTGATTATTCAAATGAAATTGAACTACCATATCAGCACCTATGGCATCCTCTGATAACCGAGAATACTTAAACACCTTCCACTGAATATATTGAAAATCAGATGATCGAATGGACAATATGTGTAATAATTAGAATTATACAACCAATCAATCAGCTATTGCACAACATATCTCTATAAATGTAATTCGTGATTGCACAATGAATACGAAACTAAGTGAACACAAACAGTCAAGGCACAAGGGACGTTCAACTAATGGCAGATGCATGGCCCACACAATCGAGACATCACACAATATTTCAAATAAATCACACTTCATTTGATCTCCATATTCAAATCAGTCTCAAGTCAAGTTAATCAAATCATCGAATGTAGGAACAGTTCACAAATACAAATGAATATATATATGATTATTGACAATGTAAACAAGTCATTCATTGATTCCAACCAGTTCCTCTTAGATACTTCATTGCTAACACCGAAATTACAGACTACCATCAATTCAATGTTTCTCCATAACAATCAGTGAATTCAACCAAAATAGTTACGCGTACTAAGTCAGTCAAATCATTACTATGATCAATAATCAATCAGTTACATAATACCACTTCACAATTCTCATCCACAATCACTTGTCGATTAGCAAATGTCAATGAGTCAATTCCAAGTTCATTCATCTCATGAGAATAATGCTCGTAGACATCCATTGTGTGATGAAAATCTGATCACCACATATGAAAACGCGAATAGTGGATTCATTATTTATTCATACAAACATCAAATCTCTCCATAAACTATGGGTCATGGTAACAGGAACAATCTATACAACCAATACATTGACCAATACTCATACAGGCCAATAAAACAAAACACTTATCATTTTGATTTTAATAAAATAAAGGTAACAATAGGAAACTGCACAAGAAAACAAAACAAAAACAATACAAATAACACAAGTTCACATTTATCGATCCACCCTCCAATATCACATCACATCTCATCACTATCATTAGTAACCATAGTAACAATAAGAGAAGTATGCTGACTGTTAATATCAATAGTATTCTTACTATTATTGGTCCCAATGATCATCACCACTATTCAATATAATCTGTATTCAGTAGCTTGGTATATTCAATATTATCATATTGATTGATAGGATTCGATTTATTCAATGAGTGTCTATCATGTTTATATGATGATGTGTTTCTCGATGTCGAGGAATTCATCACCTCAGTCCAATCTGATGAAACACCATAACATTTAGCCATTATAATTAATAAGAATAATTGTCCAATCATAACAATAAACATATGCCATACAAATATAACAACAGTTAACATCACTTTATCATGATCACTTTCATTCCATGCTGGATTGAATGGAGAATTTAATAAAAATCCACTTTGACATATCCATGATCCATGTATCATTACACTGAAACATTTGATCCATGTCCATAATAAGGAATTGTTCACCCCCATCGACATCCCCAACCCCTTCATTGTAGACATCGTCGTCGTCGTCGTCGTCGTCGACATCATCATCATCATTTCATGTATAATGGACAAAGCAACAATAAATCCCCAATAACTAATCAATAAACAACATGTTTCTGTAATATGTGGTTGTTGATATGATTGAGCACGTAAACAATACATTTGTATAAAGAATGGTAATGCATGCATCATAGAATGAAATCCTTTCGGTAGTGCAATTAATGTAGACATGAATATATCCAATAAACCAACTATTAACATTGCTGTATAAAATGGAAATTGTGCATATTCATAATGACGACCTAATTTCAATGTGATCCATTCAACACTGATACCAATGATACAACAAATTACTTTACATAAACCTTCACCTAAATAATCTTTACAGCACCATGATCTATTGGATGATAATGTTGTAGGATATGGTTCATCATTACGATTATGATGATGATGATGATGTTGTTGTTGTTGTTTTATAAAAGAATAATGTTGTTTTAATGCTTGAATCCACCACCATAGACCTAAACCTAATAGAACTATACCTAAATAGGTATAACTAAGAAATAAACCATCATTTCCATTAGCTATATGACTTGAGGACAAAGAATTGATATTCTCATGATGTTGATGAATATTATTATGATGAGTATGTTCCATCATTAGTTCATTGGACTCATTCAATAGAAGCTAATCTAACAGGAATGGATTCATTCTACTGATTATTATTATATATGTAAATACATTTCAATTTATGATTGATTCAATCAATTTTACAAGTTTTAACCAATCATATTTTACATTCTATTATAATCTCTGGTCACTATGGTAACCGTGTGAGTGCGTGCGTGCGTGACCGTATCAGTGAGTGTGTGAGTGAGTGATTGACTGAGTTGGTGAGTTCACAAGTAAATAAGAATGAAAAATGATATTTCATTAACAATTTCATTGATTAATTTCATGAGTAGGTCACATGACATATTTGTTTTTATTCAGTGTCATTATCAAGGTTGAAAATGTTTGCTCTCTCTCTCTCTCTCTGCCCCCGCCCTCTCTCTCTCTCTGTCACTCTCCAGTAGTTCATACACAACGGTATATTAACATTTTAATAAACAATCAATTGAATGTTACTATGCTTCTCATATATCCAATCTCATTCACACTCTATATCTTCTGAAAATCGATATATTTATGGATTGATCCATTTGTGATTATGTAATATAAATTCATGATGAAACTATCAATAGATGGACGATCAATGAGTGACACTAAAATGATCTTGAGAATATCCACTTAAATATTATGGTTAAATGACTATTGTAAACCAGCATAAGAAATTAGGATCAATATATTTACCGTTAATGATTACAGTTAGAAATTAGATTTTTGGTTTGCTGGGGGGGGGGCTTGAATCATCACAAACTCATATCAATTATAATGATAAAAGACTGTATTCAGTCAAATGGTTGAATGGATTCCATGTTCAAATGTAAGATCTGTTATGATGAATATGATCGGTTCGTCTAAAAATGATAGTCTCACTAACATTTACTATCAATCAATCAATCAATCATGCTTCATTATCAATCAAATGTATTCTGATGGTTGTCTTTATGATTGTGAAAGTGGATTATTTCTCCTTTTTTCATTTATATGTATATCGATGATAGAGTTTTGCTCTTTGATCTGGATGATTTCATCATGAAGTTTTCATCGCTCTTCTGAACAACATTATCACAACAAATCAGTTCAAATTTCTGCACATCTTGTTTACAGCTTGTCTTGTAGATCTCAATGTTGATTAATTCTTCTTGACCTTTAACCTGTTATTCTTTACTTGTTGTTTTGCTTGTATCTTCCATTAATTAGATTTTTATTCCTATTTTTGTCAATAATTTTCCTGATTGGTTGATAAATTTGATCGATTTCTATGTGATTTACTTGGTAGACATTTGCTGATCATTTCTGTAAGTCATTGACATTGGATATTGACCAAGTTAGTTTTAATGTCGCACGGTCATGCAACCGCACTAGATCACGAATGGGACGCCGTGTTCAACATCCTCTGCAACTATCAGTATTGAATGAATCACCGTTGATGAATACCATATTGGTAGACATCATTTTTAGACGAACCGATCATATTCATCATAACAGATCTTGCATTTCAACATGGAATCCATTCAACCATTTGACTGAATACAGTCTTTTATCATTATAATTGATATGAGTTTGTGATGAACCACCACCCACCCCCAGCAAACCAAAAATCTAATTTCTAACTCTAATCATTAACGGTAAATATATTGATCCTAATTTCTTATGCTAGTTTACAATCGTCATTTAACCATAATATTTAAGTGGATATTCTCAAGATCATTTTAGTGTCACTCATTGATCGTCCATCTATTGATAGTTTCATCATTAATTTATATTACATAATCACAAATGGATCAATCCATAAATATATCGATTTTCAGAAGATATAGAGTGTGAATGAGATTGGATATATGAGAAGCATAGTAACATTCAATTGATTGTTTATTAAAATGTTAATATACCGTTGTGTATGAACTACTGGAGAGTGACAGAGAGAGAGAGAGAGGGTGGGGGCAGAGAGAGAGAGAGAGCAAACATTTTCAACCTTGATAATGACACTGAATAGAAACAAATATGTCATGTGACCTACTCATGAAATTAATCAATGAAATTGTTAATGAAATATCATTTTTCATTCTTATTTAGTTGTGAACTCACCAACTCAGTCAATCACTCACTCACACACTCACTGATACGGTCACGCACGCACGCACTCACACGGTTACCATAGTGATCAGAGATTATAATAGAATGTAAAATATGATTGGTTAAAACTTGTAAAATTGATTGAATCAATCATAAATTGAAATGTATTTACATATATAATAATAATCAGCAGAATGAATCCATTCCTGTTAGATTAGCTTCTATTGAATGAGTCCAATGAACAAATGACGGAACATACTCATCATAATAATATTCATCAACATCATGAGAATATTAATTCTTTGTCCTCAAGTCATATAGCTAATGGAAATGATGGTTTATTTCTTAGTTATACCTATTTAGGTATAGTTCTATTAGGTTTAGGTCTATGGTGGTGGATTCAAGCATTAAAACAACATTATTCATTTATAAAACAACAACAACAACAACAACATCATCATCATCATAATCGTAGTGATGAACCATATCCTACAACATTATCATCCAATAGATCATGGTGTTGTAAAGATTATTTAGGTGAAGGTTTATGTAAAGTAATTTGTTGTATCATTGGTATCAGTGTTGAATGGATCACATTGAAATTAGGTCGTCATTATGAATATGCACAATTTCCATTTTATACAGCAATGTTTATAGTTGGTTTATTGGATATATTCATGTCTACATTAATCGCACTACCGAAAGGATTTCATTCTATGATGCATGCATTACCATTCTTTATACAAATGTATTGTTTACGTGCTCAATCATATCAACAACCACATATTACAGAGACATGTTGTTTATTGATTAGTTATTGGGGATTTATTGTTGCTTTGTCCATTATACATGAAATGATGATGATGATGTCGACGACGACGATGTCTACGATGAAGTGGTTGGGGATGTCGATGGGGGTGAACAATTCCTTATTATGGACATGGATCAAATGTTTCAGTGTAATGATACATGGATCATGGATATGTCAAAGTGGATTTTTATTAAATTCTCCATTCAATCCAGCATGGAATGAAAGTGATCATGATAAAGTGATGTTAACTGTTGTTATATTTGTATGGCATATGTTTATTGTTATGATTGGGCAATTATTCTTACTAATTATAATGGCTAAATGTTATGGTGTTTCATCAGATTGGACTGAGGTGATGAATTCCTCGACGTCGAGAAACACATCATCATATAAACATGATAGACACTCATTGAATAAATCGAATCCTACCAATCAATATGATGATATTGAATATACCAAGCTGCTGAATACAGATTATATTGAATAGTTGTGATGATCATTGGGACTAATAACAGTAATAATACTATTGATATTAACAGTCAGCACACTTCTCTTATTGTTACTATGGTTACTAATGATAGTGATGAGATGTGATATGATATTGGCGGTTGGATCGATAAATGTGAACTTGTGTTATTTGTATTGTTTTTGTTTTGTTTTCTTGTGCAGTTTCCTATTGTTACCTTTATTTTATTAAAATCAAAATGATAAGTGTTTTGTTTTATTGGCCTGTATGAGTATTGGTCAATGTATTGGTTGTATAGATTGTTCCTGTTACCATGACCCATAGTTTATGGAGAGATTTGATGTTTGTATGAATAAATAATGAATCCACTATTCGCGTTTTCATATGTGGTGATCAGATTTTCATCACACAATGGATGTCTACGAGCATTATCTTCATGAGATGAATGAACTTGGAATTGACTCATTGACATTTGCTAATCGACAAGTGATTGTGGATGAGAATTGTGAAGTGGTATTATGTAACTGATTGATTATTGATCATAGTAATGATTTGACTGACTTAGTACGCGTAACTATTTTGGTTGAATTCACTGATTGTTATGGGGAAACATCGTATTGATGGTAGTCTGTAATTTCGGTGTTAGCAAAGAAGTATCTAAGAGGAACTGGTTGGAATCAATGAATGACTTGTTTACACTATCAATAATCATATATATATTCATTTGTATTTGTGAACTGTTCCTACATTCGATGATTTGAATAAGTTGACTTGAGACTGATTTGAATATGGAGATCAAATGAAGTGTGATTTATTCGAAATATTGTGTGATGTCTCGATTGTGTGGGCCATGCATCTGCCATTAGTTGAACGTCCCTTGTGATCTGACTGTTTGTGTTCACTGAATTTCGTATTCATTGTGCAATCACGAATTACATTTATAGAGATATGTTGTGCAATAGCTGATTGATTGGTTGTATAATTCTAATTATTACACATCTTGTCCATTCGATCATCTGATTTTCAATATATTCAGTGGAAGGTGTTTAAGTATTCTCGGTTATCAGAGGATGCCATAGGTGCTGATATGGTAGTTCAATTTCATTTGAAAAATCAACCGTAAATGGAAATACACACTTCACATCGATCCTCGTCATTGAAATAACCAATTAGCAGTAGCTTTAAATTCTTCTTACTCTTGTTGTTAGACGCATGAATTTCGGTGTGTGTGTATTTGAAGTGACCTGCTGAGATTGATTGATCACGATTTGGTGATCACTGTCATGCGTATGCAGTATTAGCTGTGATTGTTGTTTATTTAAGGCTTACTTTTCATAATGGAGAATTCACTAGAAATGACTACACAGTGATGATGATAACTGTCGTGCATATCTAAACGTTAGTTGTAGAACTCTACATCTTACGAAAGCAATTTGTTTCTTAGACATTGAAATGCACTTGTCATTCTAGTCATTGATTGATCTTGTTATTTGCAACTTCTGTTAGGCTTTCCATATCAATAGGTTATTTAAAGTTCTCGTTTTGTGAGTATAGTGAGGATATTCAGTAAGTTATCTTATGTAGCTACTAGTGTCTGAATTGACTGACTAAAAGGGTTGTGACTATTTACTTCATTTTAATTTGTGAATCAATTCTAGTGGACACTTTTAACATAGAAAACAATTTCTAGTGTTGTGGCATTACGTATGGTATATTCAGAATTCATCTGTCTTTGTCTCTAAACTCCATCAGTTCACAATGTAACGTGCTCAGCATCCATTTTCATCATTCGTGCCTATCGCACTCCTAATATTATTGGTATTTTAGTGTAGAATTCTATGGTGAGTGTTGAATGTTAGTGAGATCAAGAATCAAAATGAAGAATGTTAGCATTGAAAACTAGGAGGTAGTGGACAAGTGCCTTTTTCTAATATGGAACTAATCAGTAGAGTGAATCCGCGCCTTCACCGTCAATGGAATTTGGAAAGTTCATATTTTGTAGAGAGAGAGAGAGACAGAGCTGAATTTCCTGGATTCTCACATGGATGCTTGTAATCTGCAAATTATGGTTTCTAGTTGGGAGATGTGAAGTGGAGACAGACTGGCTTTACGTGCTGGTCTGCACTCCTCGTACGACCGATAGAAAAACTAGACTGGTAGTGAATAGGTCATTAATTTGAAATCGTTGAATGTGTAGTGGTGAGTGAGGTTACATTCCGAGACATACGAAGCTATTCAACAATCAATATAAAATATTTACAGCTATAATCACTGCACGAAACAATGAAATGAGAATGAATATTTGAGATCTAATTTTCTGACATTGACTTAGTTGTTTGCAGTCAAATCTAAACGAGTCAATCTTATTTAATACAAGTTGTCCAATTCTCTGTAATCTTCAAAGATCTCCCATTTCATGCTGGCCATTTGTGTTAATGATCCTGAAGCTGAACAATCTTCACCATTCTCTTTGTCTTACTAACGTATTTGACTACTGAGCTGTATTCATTTAGGTTTCTGTATTAAGAACTATGAAAATTGCTTGAATGCTGAAGTCTTTTGAAATTCGCGCGCTTATCCACAAATATCTTCATCGTTCGACAAATGATATCAGTCTGTGACTAGAATTGTCCTCCAGGAATCAGTGGACGTAACACTCAATAAATTTCAGAAACACATCGATTTTGTAACAATAATCCGTTTGTATCCAAGTTCACATATTGATTATTGAATGTTTAAGTTTTACAAAATGCATTTATTCAGCGTCATTGTGGATAATCTGAGCTAAGGTCAATGAGTTTCAATGTTTTGAGACTTCATTTCATTTGTTGATATTACTGTGAATAGTGAATCGATAACCAAACAGTTACTATTATTATTACTATCATTGATCCAATGTCTATGTTACTGCATTCAGTCAACTATATATATATATATATATAATATATATATGATATATATATATAATAAATATATATATAGGTGACTGAATGCAGTAACATAGACATTGGATCAATGATAGTATACATAATAGTAACTGTTTGGTTATCGATTCACTATTCACAGTAATATCAACAAATGAAATGAAGTCTCAAAACATTGAAACTCATTGACCTTAGCTCAGATTATCCACAATGACGCTGAAAAAATGCAGTTTGTAAAACTTAAACATTCAATAATCAATATGTGAACTTGGATACAAACGGATTATTGTTACAAAATCGATGTGTTTCTGAAATTTATTGAGTGTTACGTCCACTGATTCCTGGAGGACAATTCTAGTCACAGACTGATATCATTTGTCGAACGATGAAGATATTTGTGGATAAGCGCGCGAATTTCAAAAGACTTCAGCATTCAAGCAATTTTCATAGTTCTTAATACAGAAACCTAAATGAATACAGCTCAGTAGTCAAATACGTTAGTAAGACAAAGAGAATGGTGAAGATTGTTCAGCTTCAGGATCATTAACACAAATGGCCAGCATGAAATGGGAGATCTTTGAAGAGTACAGAGAATTGGACAACTTGTATTAAATAAGATTGACTCGTTTAGATTTGACTGCAAACAACTAAGTCAATGTCAGAAAATTAGATCTCAAATATTCATTCTCATTTCATTGTTTCGTGTAGTGATTATAGCTGTAAATATTTTATATTGATTGTTGAATAGCTTCGTATGTCTCGGAATGTAACCTCACTCACCACTACACATTCAACGATTTCAAATTAATGACCTATTCACTACCAGTCTAGTTTTTCTATCGGTCGCACGAGGAGTGCAGACCAGCACGCAAAGCCATTCGGTCACTACTTCACATCTACCCACTAGAAACCATAATTTGCAGATTACAAGCATCCATGTGTGAATCCAGGAAATTCAGCTCTGTCTCTCTCTCTCTCTCAACAAAATATGAACTTTCCAAATTCGATTGACGGTGAAGGTGCGGATTCACTCTACTGATTAGTTCCATACTAGAAAAAAAACACTTGTCCACTACCTCCTAGTTTTCAATGTTAACATACTTCATTTTGATTCTTGATCTTACTAACATTCAACACTCACCATAGAATTCTACACTAAAATACCAATAATATTAGGAGTGCGATAGGCATGAATGATGAAAATGGATGCTGAGCACGTTACATATTGAACTGATGGAGTTTAGAGACAAAGACAGATGAGTTCTGAATATACCATACGTAATGCCACAACACTAGAAACTGTTTTCTATGTTAAAAGTGTCCACTAGAATTGATTCACAAATTAAAATGAAGTAAATAGTCACAACCCTTTTAGTCAGTCAATTCAGACACTAGTAGCTACATAAGATAACTTACTGAATATCCTCACTATACTCACAAAACGAGAACTTTAAATAACCTATTGATCTGGAAAGCCTAACAGAAGTTTCAAATAACAAGATCAATCAATGACTAGAATGACAAGTGCATTTCAATGTCTAAGAAACAAATTGCTTTCGTAAGATGTAGAGTTCTACAACTAACGTTTAGATATGCACGACAGTTATCATCATCACTGTGTAGTCATTTCTAGTGAATTCTCCATCATGATAAGAAAGCCTTAAATACACCACAATCACATATAATACTGCAAACGCATGACAGTGATCACTAAATCGTGATCAATCAATCTCAGCAGGTCACTTCAAATACACACACACCGAAATTCATGCGTCTAACAACAAGAGTAAGAAGAATTTAAAGCTACATCTAATTGGTTATTTCAATGACGAGGATCAATCTGAAGTGTCTCTTCCCATTCACGGTTGATTTTTCAAATGAAATTGAACTACCATATCAGCACCTATGGCATCCTCTGATAACCGAGAATACTTAAACACCTTCCACTGAATATATTGAAAATCAGATGATCGAATGGACAATATGTGTAATAATTAGAATTATACAACCAATCAATCAGCTATTGCACAACATATCTCTATAAATGTAATTCGTGATTGCACAATGAATACGAAACTCAGTGAACACAAACAGTCAAGGCACAAGGAACGTTCAACTAATGGCAGATGCATGGCCCACACAATCGAGACATCACACAATATTTCAAATAAATCACACTTCATTTGATCTCCATATTCAAATCAGTCTCAAGTCAAGTTAATCAAATCATCGAATGTAGGAACAGTTCACAAATACAAATGAATATATATATGATTATTGATAGTGTAAACAAGTCATTCATTGATTCCAACCAGTTCCTCTTAGATACTTCTTTGCTAACACCGAAATTACAGACTACCATCAATTCAATGTTTCTCCATAACAATCAGTGAATTCAACCAAAATAGTTACGCGTACTAAGTCAGTCAAATCATTACTATGATCAA